CGATGTCATTGAACAAATTTAAGAAACGATACGAAATCTGAATATTAAAGTCTACCTTTTCCAGAAAACTGCATTTTCTTCTTGCAACACATCAACCTGTGCATATCTAGAAGAAGATTCGAGATTTAAGGAATCTCTCAATAAACGGCAGAATGTGTGAAGAAATCGGACAAGTGTTTTGAAGGTTAGAGATGGACCATAACTTCATTAGATGCTTGACTTCGGTTGGAGGGGTTGATATTTGCAGGAAGGAGAAGAGCCGAAACTTCTGAAACCTGACGAAACAATGAAGATACGCAGAAGTAATAAGGGTGAAATAAGCCTCAAGCGATTCCGAAGGAATTTACGCAAATGCCCCTAAACTTTAGGCGGGAGGCTCACTTAGTTCGATTAATAAATACTAGTAAATCACCCGTGCGATGCACGGTCGGTGAATTTCCAACCCATTTTTTGGATATTGAAACATTCATTGATACGTAGTATCTATTTGAAATATGACGAACCTAACGGACGAAAATCTGTTCTGAACTTCATTCTTAATGTCATAGATATACAACTGTTCATTTTCCGGCTTCGCACCAGGCGGAGGCAACAAACTACCAATTCAATTAAGTGATAATTCTGGCCATGTAGTTTAAATATTGGAGGAGACCTATCCCTATTGACATTTCCTTCCACCCTACCTCTCATGGACGTAAAAGGAAAACATAATGTTGTAACATCTTATGTTTTCTAAGAAATGCATACTACGTTCATCCGAACCCTCTATCAACCCAGTCAACAAAGTAGGCGACTCTTTCATAAAAGGCAACACAACCTTTCCTTGACTACAACAGAGAGAAAATTTTGGAACCTTCTTCGTCGACGTTGAAAGAATACGTTCGTCAAACCAAAACAAAGCATTACAGAACGCAGATGTGCACGGAATTTGAAATAACCTGAAACACGCAACATTAAATGCAATATAACAAAAAAGGAATACCGGGAAAAAATGGAAATAAGACTAAAAATCAGTCCTTAAATAAAAACATAAGTGTTTCAGTCTATAATCTGAACCGAACCAACCGACACATACTCTAAAAAATACTGACATATTATAAGCGAACCATATTTTATTAATGAATAATGAAAAATATTAATTTCCAACACAAAAAATGGAAAAAATGGATAAACATTATAAAGGCTAAAAAACATAATGCATATCAAATAAATTTTGGACAAAACCAAACACCTGTACTCGGTTCAAACCTCAACTAAGCCCACTTTATTTCCCCAGCAATACCCAAACATATACACCACCGGCCCAAACAACCCAACATTCAAAGCCCACCCAAACCATTTATACGCTGGAACATGTAACCCACCCAAACCCTCCTGAAAACACGTCGACATCCAGCCTCTCCACCACTCTCTCTAACGAACAGAGCAGATCGGAAAAGATAAGCACCGGCCGGACGCAGACCATCAGAACCCAGGGAAAAACACTCCAGCCAGAAAAAAAACATCGGATTCTTAACCTCTGAACCTAACTCCACGGCAGAGACCTCCTCTCCACACACACGGAAGCAGCAGTCCTCCCTCGTCCCCTAACGACGACCGGACGACGATTATGAGAGGTCAAGCGCACTGCGGCAAAAAGGCCCCAGACGGCACCGGCTATTACCAACGGGGATGGATCGATGACTTTCAGCAACAGGCTTCACAGGTAACATTCCTCATCCAAAAAAAAACCAAACCACAAACCCTAACCCGACCCTTCTACCTCCTACAAACCTTCTTTAACTCACAACAAATACGAACATAATTTTTTTTACATGAAATAACCTGATAAACCTTCAGATCTGGCCTTTCTTTTTTTTTTCTCTCATTCGGTTGTGCTAGGCAAACCTCCAAGATGAAACATTTTTTAATGGAAAATATTGTATTTTGTAATAATAAAAACGGAAAAATACAGTCCAAATATTTTTTCAGCCATGGTTTAAACATTAACCCATAAATTTTAACCAAATATTTTTGTGCAATCATTAACCAACCATTTATTACCGAACACAGTATTTTTTTCTATCATACCGGTTTTTCCAGAATAATTTACGCATGTATCGGTATTTGAGATTTTATCATTCCGGTAGATCTCTTATAAGGTAATCAACTACTTTAGATTTACTTTACAATAGTTTGTTATGGGCATCTATTTGTTTCAACTTTCATGTAATTCAAATAGTCTTATTGATTATTTTATTCATAGAATTCGTCGCAAAAGTTGAAGGATGTAGCAAAGCAAATGAACCTCCGTGCTTCAAGGGCTGATTTTAGTGTTTTTAGTGGGAACTATGTACACTCTCTCAAAGGATAAGGTTATTTTAACTATTCCTGGTCCTTGTGATTAAAATAAAAAAAAGTTATCTTTGTACCCATCAATCAAGTCTTTGTATTTTGTAATTGTGTTATCTGGCCAAGGAGCCATATATGCATAACCATCTAATTTGGTATCCTCATACAATTAGTTGGTTATCTTTCTTGAAGCTATATTGTGAGTACTAACTTCTCATCTCCAGGTTGAAGCTCCTCTTTTGTATCCCGGCTTGCGTCCGACTGTTAAGAATTCATTTGAGGTATTGTAATTGCACTGATAATAAGAACCTATCAAGCGATATACTCCTCCTGATTGGCCCCAAATCAAGTTTTTGATGTGTAGAATATATGAGGAAAATGCATTGTATTCATCTGCCTAACATTTTGAAAGGAAATTAGGCTTATATTTAATTATCTTAACTATATAGAATACAAATATACACATGTATAGTTAATTATTAATAATATTTGATAAAATATTATAATTTTAATAATAATCTACAAAAACATATTTCTAATTTTCCGAAATGTATTTTTTTTAATCTTTTTCGTTATTAATATTCCCTTCGTATTCTAAAGTTTGCTGCACTTTCCCTTTTGGGATGTATTTAAAAGTTTGTTACATTTTCTTCTTTTGGTAGGTTTTTCCCTTTAAAATACTCAACTACCCTTACTTTTTCTACTCTTTATCTTCTCTTTCCTACTTTTCACCTTCTATCCTACTTTTTCTACACTATTCATTACCCCTACTATTTCCTCCTTAAATATTGTGCCAAAGCCTAACGGAGTTCATAAAATTGAACATCGTTTTTTTAATCACAGGGAATTAATTTTTTAGATATGTATTTAATCAGAGCCCTTATTTTTAAAAGTATCTGGAAATGTCTAGGATTTTTTTATGAAAAAAAATACCGTTTTTTCAAAAAGTTAAAAGAAGAATCTAGACATAGTAGAAAAGAACAAACAAAATAATGATGCCACCCTGCGTAATTACAGATAGTGGCAGCACCCACCCCATACATACTATGGGGTATATTTTAACTCCAACAACCCACCACCCAACCGTTACCCACACCCCTTTAGGCTTTAACACATCAAACCTCCCACCCCCAACTGCCCAACTTAAATGCTTCGATAAAATTGACCGGTCACTAATGCACCTTTTCTTAAAAAAATCTCAACATTGAATTCAATTATTTAAAAATCTAACAACAAAATATCTGTCCCCTATTTCTGCCCTGGAGAATGGATCACCAACTAAAGTTACTGCTCAAAGGTATGAAACTATATTCATATGTTTCGATATAATATACCAACCCTATATTCAATTATTTTCATGATTCTGAAATTGTTTCTAATATTTAATTCAACCATTATAAGATAAACCTTGAAGCAAATCATTTACAACGCGTTACATAAAAGACGAAATCTATTATCTATTACCTAGTATAATACAGAGTATATACGATGCTACCAATGGCACATAAAGGTAAAAAATGCTTGTATTTTTATTAATTAAAAAAATTATAAGAACTGTCAAGGCTAAACGAATTGCCTTGGACATGCCAGCCAATCAGGGGGGTAATATGTGGTAGAATTTTTTTTAGATAGTTAATTATTTATACTTGTCTATATTTCTTCTAAGAATTTGTTTAATATACTTGTTTATCAAAACAGGTTTATTTATTTCTCAATAACGATATCTGCCATTGAATATAATCATTTCACCTTAGGGTCTTCAAGTCAATCATGCATTATTCATCAATCTGCAACATACAAAGATTTGCATGTTCGCTAAATTCTAACGAAGGTTTACATGTTAAAATTGCAGGGATTGTTCAAGGCTTATTAATATTCAATTCTGAAGAATGCCTACTGTATGACAACCCCATTAAAATAATCATCCGTATTAAGTTTACTGTGCACCTAGAAACTGTCCAATGAAAATCAAGCATTGTGGGTAGGAAATCTTGAATAAATCCCTTGAGCAGCTCACCAGCTGGAACCCAAAGCATTGACCAATGAAAAAACGCCTAGTTGGGTATAAAAATCTAAATGAAATTCCAACAGTGCCTGAAGTTGCTGCATCCATTCATTCCAAGACAAAATATCACACGCAGGGCCCAACATGACAATTTTTTACTCATCAAACACTCAGCAAACACTTGGTTACGGAGCAATAACAATAAGGAATTGAAAGTGACGTTTTTGAGGGGGAAAACTCACCCCAAAAACATTTTGCTTTTAGATTATTATTATTATTATATATATATATATATATATATATATATATATATATATATATATATATATATATATATATATATATATATGGGGGGTGTTTGGATCTGATTCTCAAAACTGATTCTGCTCCTTCAGGGAGCAGAAGCAGAAGCTGAAGTGTTTGGGTGAAATTCCAGAAGCACTTTTGGAGCTCAAATTTACTCTCAGAATCAGTTTTTTTAGAAGCTGAGAGGTAACAGCTTCTGAAAACTAATTTTGATTCTACTTCTGCTTTTAAAAAAGAAGTAGAAGCAGAATCAGTTCCAAACACTCTTATATATAGATATAGATGGGGAGTTTTTTGCTCCAAAAATTCGTTTAAGGACTTAAATGCCCTTTAGGTATAAGTTTAGGGGGGATTTGCCCCTTTTCCATCATCCACTCAGTATCCCCTATGTGACAAAGTTCCATCATCCATCCACACACGGTGAAGGATGGAGATGCGTAGACTCCAGAGAGAGAAGTGAATAAGGAGAGGATGAAGTGGTCATGCTTTCCATGGCCAAACCTCATCTCTTCACCCATCGCATTGTGTTCGAGCTCGTTTCCTTCAAATTCCCCTTGCTGCCTCGTCAAGCCTTCTGTGACTCCAGTTGTTCTCTCCTCCAGAAGACCTCCCTACAACTCCCTTGTCTCCCAGGTCGCCACCGCCCCCTTTATATTTATATATACACACATACCCAGTGGCATCATGCTTGCGTAGTTACGTTCTTCCCATTTTTGTTTTGTGCGAATAAATCAAATTCAGCCTCTGTTTGACTGCAGTTTAAGTTAGATTTATGTATTCTTCATCCCTAAATACTTCGATTTGAAAGTTTATAAGGATAACTACGCCTGGTGATCAAACATTGTTTTCATGCTCATCTATTTAATCCATATTTCTGCCAAGTTGCTCACCGAACAATAGATTATGCTTTCAATCTTAGGGTCCGTTTGAACAAGTAAAATGCCAGGGAAAGAAAAGAGAGAACAAAATATACTCCATAGTTTATATTTGGAACGAAAAAATATCTTGAGCAAATCAGCAAAATAAGTCATTCTTAAAAGTTAAAAATAAACTTAGGTTTTTCCTAAAATATTACTAATAAAAAAGTGAAGGACAAAAAATGTGACTTGATAACTTTTAGTGACTATATTTCTATTCAAAGTTTACATCATAGGCACTAGATCATAGGAACTCTCAACACAATTATAGTCGCTAAAAGTTACCAAGTCACATTTTCAAGGAGTAACATTAGTGGAATATTTTCAAACTAAATAACTTAAGGTTTAATATTTCTTTGAATTACATAATTATTTATTAATTTGTATTGGATAAACTATTTCTTTAGGTGAAATTTGACTTCGCACCCCACTCTTTGGCTATATTGGGCTTTGTCCCCCATTTTGGATAATTATTGGCATTTTCTTTACCTCCTAGTATTTTCTGAGATCCAAGCATATCCTAAAAGGTTCTTTATGAACTGTTCAAGTGCTTTGCTCAATTTATCTATTTCCTCTCCTCCATGCCAAATGCGCTAATTGCTGCCAGGCAGTAAGGCTGCTGGGTCCTCCTGCAAAATTCGATGCTTCAAAGCTCAAAGTTGCATTTACCAGAGAAGAGACTTGTACATATAGCAGAGTTTTGCCAAGAATTTACACACTTTCACATTGCGATTTTACAGCAAATTTGACATTAACTATCTCAAATGTCATCCACCGCGATCAGGTAATGCTTCTAATCTAAACTCATTTGTGTAATTATCCTACTATGATGGAAAGCTCTTCTATCTGTTTCCAGCATCATGATGAAGCAGTCTTGAGAAAAATAGGCCTATGATATGGTTCTGGTAGACTCCTTGATAGGGATAAAGGACCTATTCAGTATTTTAACAAAGTTTACAAGAGGAGAAATAAGGAGTTTACTAATAAGTAGCAAGTCAGTAGCCTTTCTAATCCCTGCGTGGATATTTACTATAAATAGAAGGGGGGAATAGCTAAATAAGATAGGCTGTTATTTTATTTGGGTGCTGCCTTGGAGAGTGGGCTTCTCTAACAGTCTCGGTTACCTTGTTGCCTAAGTCGAGACATTTCCTATCAATAAATATCATTTTCCCTCTTTCTTTATCAGATTTGTGTTGCTTGTTCATTACTTTTGCCAGGTTTATTGCCATATTCTTATCATTGGTATCAGAGCAGTTGCTCCTGGGAATCGGATTGTGGTAGCGACTTCAACATAGCTCTCGTTTCAGAGGTGGATGGTAAAAACGAGATCTAAAATGGAGCATCGCATTGAGGCGTTTGAGCAGGAGATGAGGGCGGCTATGGCAAACTTCACAACTACGATAAATGAACAGATTCAGAATAGCATCGCAACTTCGATGGCAGCTTATCAAACCAGGGATGATCATTCCAAGGGGTGATCACGATCACATCACCGCCGTCATTCGCGATCACCATATAGCTCATCTCATTCCATAGGTAATTCCGTACACTCTCCAGTCCACATTCGTCGAGTTCTTACGGGTAGGAAGGTGGATCTACCTATGTTTAATGGGGAGGGTGTTTACAACTGGATTGTGAGGATGGAACGTTATTACAAACTGAATAATATTGAGGAAGAAGATAAGGTGGAAGTATCTGTTGTGGCAATGGAGGACAGGGCTTTGAACTGGTTCCAATGTTGGGAACATCAAGCAGATGAAAGAACTTGGGAGAATATGAAGGATGCTGCGATCCGCAGGTTCCAACCGGATTTAATACAGAATCCATATGGACCTATGCTGAGTTTGAGACAAACGGGAATTGTGAGAGAGTATAGGGAGGAGATTGAAATGGGGCATCTTTATTAATGGTCTCAAGGAGGAGGTTAAGACCGAACTCAAACTGTATAATTCCAGATCATTATCGGACAGGGCCCTATTGATAGAACAGAGAAATGATGCTACATATGTGAGGGGCAAAGCTGAAGATAAAACTACTGGGAAGGATAAGGGGCCTATGAATTATAAGGCGTGTGAATCTATGGGGAAGAAGGCAACTGAAATCAATCCAAAGTATAAGGCGTGTGGGACCCCACCTCTCTCAAGAGGAGTATCAAGATAGAAGCAGGAGGGGCCTTTGTTTTAAATGTGGTGAAAAATGGAGTTAAGGAATACACTTGTAAGATGAAGAACTATAAACTGATATTGGTAGAAGATTCTGATAGCGAGGAAGAATTGGACATCACAGATCCTGATACACCAGAAGTGGAAGAGGTTACCATGGAGTCAAAATCTATGCAGCTGTCCCTTATGAGTAAAGAAGGGATACCTTCTGATGGATCGTCGGACTAGGGGTACCGGAATCCACCGAAAGTAAGAGTAAGGAGAGTGAACTGATCGGAAAGTGCAGATCGGAAGTTTTTATTAGCTCCAGTAATGCGATAGTTTTAACCTCCCTTTCCACAAGGTTGGAAGGTGATATTTATATTACAGGAAAAAGGGGAATACTTGGCGGGCAAGTAAAAAGATGCTAGTCTAATAAGAGAAGGACACGTGTAAAGTTAATCTAACAAACTAACCGCCTAATCCGCTGGGAGGCTGCCACGCGTAAAGCTGATTGGAGGGAGAATAATCAATAGCTGGCTGATTGATTATTCTCCTAACAGATTTCCTAATGGAAGCTTCATGTGGTTGCACATGGGCAATCGGGAGCATCCTTCCGGTGTAGGAAGTGTCGTGGCGGTGTTCCCTTGTAGGCGGATCTATGAGGATTCTGTCTAAGTGTGCGATGCCTTGTGATGACCTCGAGGGATACCGAGGTTGATGCTCAGGGGCTCGGCCTCACGACGGGGGAATCTGCCTCGTGGTCCTTTGCCCCCGTTTCAGGGGTAGTTGAGTATCTAGCGCCTTGCTGGCAGACTTCGGTCTTGATCTCTGTGGTCAGCATTCGTGCCGACCTTGGGTGTGTCGAGGTCGGGGTCAGGTTTTGCCGAGTCCGGCTGATTCTTGAGCTTGATGTCTTCCGACCTCGGGGTCGGGGTCAGATGTCCTCGTTATTCGCTGGATCCAGTTGGTGTCTGAGCTCGGTGCTTTCCCGACCTCGTGGTCGGGGTGTCTAGGGGAACCGTGGGCTTAGCTTTTCTAGTGTCTTTGATGCACTCGTGGTATTTTCCTCCCGGTGATCGTGATACCCCTGGGGTATGTGGGAATATACTCCATCACCTTCTATGAGGGCTTTTAAGGTAAAAGGTTGCTTAAAAGGAAAATGGGGAGAGGAAGGAGTAGAAGTGCTCAGATAGTGGTGTTACCCACAATTTTATATCCCAAAGGATGGTAAATCAACTGAATATACCTCATGAGACCATTGCAGGGTACAAGGTGCAAATTGGTAATGGAGATCAACTGACTAACAATAGAAGATGTGGGGGAATGACTTTATGCTTACAAAAAAACTGTAATCCAACAGGATTTTTACATCCTGGAATTGGGTGGTATTGGGGATGGAATGGCTTACCAGTTTGGGAATGTAGAAATCAATTTCCAAAAGCAGAGCATCAAGTGGAGGGAACTGGGAAGGATGCAAGTGATACAAGGAGATCCACACCTAAATTCTCTTGAAGTTTCCTTAGAGACTATGGCTCATATTTTGCAGGATGCTGGAGATGGCTACTTGGTATATTGTGAAGGGAAGACTGAAGAAATGAATGGTGAGAAGGAGGTAGATGAAATCTGGAAACAGATTCTAGCAGAATTTCCAGAAGTTTCTCAGCCTATGAAACATCACCACCTAGTATGGCTTGTAACCATGCCATACGCATCCAAGAAGGAGCATCTATTTCAAATATAAGACCCTACAGGTACCCACAATACCAGAAGAATGAGATTGAAAGGATCATAAAAGAGATGTTAAGTGAAGGAATCATTCAGCCCAATAATAGCCCCAACAGTAGTCCTATCTTACTAGCTAAGAAGAAAGATGGGGGCTGGAGGTTCTGTGGTGACTATAGGGCCCTCAACAGGATCACTATACCTGATAAGTTCCGAATACCAATCATTGAAGAGTTGCTAGATGAATTGGGGGGAGCTGTGATTTTCCAAGCTTGACCTCAAGTCTGGTTATCACCAAATAAGGATGAGGAAGGAAGATATTCAGAAAACAGCCTTTCGAACACATGAGGGGCATTGTGAGTCCTTGGTGATGCCTTTTGGCCAACCAATGCCCCCTCTACTTTTCAGGCCCTCATGAATCAAGTTTTGAGACAATTTCTAAGAAAATTTGCTTTGGTTTTCTTTGATGACATTCTAGTGTATAGCAGGACTAGGGAAGATCATCAAGAACACTTGAGGAGGGTCCTGGGAGCACTAAAGGAGAACCAGCTTGTTATTGTTAGGGACAGACCTCTTAGGATATTAAATAAAAGAGTTAGTGTAGTTATATTTCTGTTTGAGATAATAACTACATTCTGTTAGTGGGATACTATAAATAGATGTAAAGTGAGAATAGAGAGGAGGCATTTTGACTGTTTAGTATTTTCTGGGAAGATTGAGAATTATCTCTCTCTTGGGGCTTCGGTGATAGGAACAATCCAGGTATGCAGCAAGAATCACAGAAAATATCAAGAACAACTGAGAATTTTATTGATGAACAAGATGACAGTATCGGTAACCTAGGCCGAAGCCTCCCAATGAGCCGAAGCCCCCCAAAGAACGAGAATAGCTCTCGATCTCCCAAAGTCCCAAATGACAAATGTCTAAAAACAGCCTACTCGACTTCTCCCCAGTTTAGTCTATTTATACTAACTATTACACTTATTATTATTCTGGGTTTATTAGGCCCAATACCTAACAGTCCATTAGGCCCAATCCCTAACATACTCCCCCCCTAAACATCCACCTTGCCCTCAAGGTGGGTAATAGGACACAGCCACAATCTTTATCTTTTCTTTCATCCTAGCACTTCTTCCTTTCCAATACTGGCATGATTTCTGGACCCTTAGCTTGGCTGATTCCATTTTTTTTCCTATGTATTTCACAGCAGAATTACACAACTGCCATGACATTCTATCCCGAATTGACTTGAAAACTTCAGGGTACTCCTTTATAAACTCATTCCTTCTGCCTTCAATTCTCTGTTCTTGCTTCTGCTTTGTGCTTTGTCCTTCACAGTACAACCAATACCCATCACCTTGAATAACATGATTCAGCCCTTGTTTCTTCCATTTTATGATCTGGTTTTGGAAATTACTTCCATATCACCTAGATCAGTCAACCATTCCAATCCTAGCACCATGTCAGTCCCACCAAGCTCCAACATATAAAAATTCTGTTGAATTTCATTGCCCTGCACATTCAGTTTCATCCCTTCACATCAACCATAGTTGGAGATCAGTTTTCCATTCCCTATCTGTACCTTATATCCCTTGATACTTTGAAAAGGTATCTGCCATCTTTCTACAAGTTGTTGGGATATAAAGTTGTGGGCAGCACCACTATCAATCGATACATTCACCTGTTGCTCATTTTCTGACCATTTCAATTCCCCTTTTACCTGGAAAGTCTTCATAGAATAGCTTCCTTCTTTACTTGGGACTGACAACTGCATAGATTTGAGTTCCTCATGAACCCCTTTTTCTTCTTCTGAGTCACTAGATGCATTTTCAGATCCTTCCTCTCCTTCAGATTGTCTCCTCAGCACCATCTTGAAATTTTTCATCCTGCAATTGTGACCTCGGTTCCAGTTTTCACC